TGCTGCTTTTGGGGTGGGGGGGCCCCTACCCCCCCCCCCCCCCGCAAGGGCCCTGGGAGGGGTGAGATGTCCACGAGACAGTTCCTGCCAGCCCTTTCTCTGCCCTTTCTCACACCCTGATCCTTTCAGCTCTGGCAAGGGCATTAAGGAAAGTCATCCCACATCCAGCCTGGCCTCACACGGGCGGGAGCAATGGAGGCTCTGGAGGAGGGGAGGCAGGAGTCCAGAGCTGACGCAGCCACCTCCCTCAGTGCCATTCCCATGTGCCAAGAGGCTTGGGGGCTGCTGGGGGGCAAGTCTGCATCTGAGGGGCTGGGGGACAGGGAGGAGGCAGCAAAGCAAGAAGGGAAGTGGAGTGTGTGTGAGAAGGATGTGCAGCTCTGACAGAAGAATGTCTCTACCTCACAAACCCCCCTTTGGTGGATTGAAGGCCAACAGGAGATCTTCAGTGGGCAAATTCACAAGGCCCATGGCTCCAGACCCCCTCAGTTCCTCCTCTTCCTATCAGTGGCCCCTGAGCAAAGAGGGCCACGTGGGGAGCAGTAAATCCCACTTCTCTGCCCTTCCTCTGCCCATTCCTCAGCCGGAGAGTCTCCCAAAGCCCCCTGCAAGAAAGCCCCCCCCCCACCTTAGCTAACCAGGAAAGCCAAGACGCCCAAGGCCAGGCTCTTCAGCCAGGGAGCCCAGACCAGGCCCAGACAAAGAGGCAATGCTGTCAGAGGGGGGGGGGGGGAGCCAAGAGAACTCCCAACCTGCCAATAGGCCTCTACCCAACCTGGGGGTCTCCAGCTGCATCCTTCTTGCGCCTTGTCCTCTAGGGCAGAGGTCTTCAAACTTAGCAACTTTAAGACTAGTGGACTTCAACTCCCAGAATTCTCCAGCCAGCCCTAGGGGTGACACCCACAACCTGTGGGCAGCTGGGCATAGTGCTCAGCCTGGGATGCTCCTCGATCAAGCCGTGCCTGAGGAAGAGGCGTGGGCTCAGAGACCCTAGAGCAGGGGTCCCCAATCTTGGCAATTTTAAGACTTGTGGAGTTCAACTCCCAGAATTCTCCAGCCAGCTCTGAGCCCAGTGCCCCTTGCCCTTGGCTCCAGCCAACTCTACCAGGCCAGAGATCCACAGCTCTGGAGTCATTTGGGAAGAGACCCCTCCCCCCCGCCCC